AGTTCCCTCCCTAAAATACATATTTTACAGCCAGTGTTTATCACTATATAGTAGTAATCATAAACATAGCCTGTTTTCATAAAGAAGCTCTTAGGAGCTTAAAGGCTCCCTACCAGTGCCCCTCTTTCGCAAAACTCATCATCTGGCACAGTTATATCATTGGTAGAATATAAAATGGGTAAAATATTGAAATACAAGCCTTTCAGGCAAATATAATTTATGTAATATGTCAAACCTTTAACCCTCTGGGAAACAATCCACTCGCAGCAACAGTTTAAAAGTACCCCAATTCCACTGGAAAACTGCAGACTTGGCAACCCTGATATAGCCCTATAGCTGGCTTTGAAGAAGGCAATCCTTTGCAAGGGCATCATCATATCTGAGCATCCTTGATATCAGAAATTTTGTTGTTAAGAAATAGTTTTATTTCTCCTAAATCGTGTATTTCTCACCCGCTGACAGATGCCTACATGTTGGGCTGGCAGGGTCATATGGAGCCCACAGTACATGCCACTCTGCCCCGCTCTTTTTCTGCCCCGTACCCCCCACTGGAGGGTATTGCCGAGGGAGCAGAGGAGGAAGAAGAAGATGAAGAAAGCCCTCAGTGGGTTACAGATCAGATAGCTGATGGGAATGAAAGCCTTACGCCAGAGATGAGCCTCAATTCTGATGCTGAGGCAGATTCTGTAGTAAAGATAGATGATGGTCCAACGGAAGAAGACATCCAGCAGGCTATGCGTGTGGAGATGTACATCCTGGGACTACTGCAGCGACGACACCTCAGATCTACAGGAGAACTCAACTCTGATCCTGATCAGTGGCATAAATTACACACATACCCACCTAGTTACCCACAACTTGACCAATTGCAATGGCAGGAATGGGCAACTCTCTCTGAGGAAGAGAATGAGCGTGAACCACAAGATGGATATTACATGAACCTTCCCAATGCCCAAGTTGGACCAACCTCCCTAAGCAGTGAGGAGCCAGAATCCTCCTTGGAAATGGATCAGTATGGAATCGAAGAAGTCTACACTAGCAGCAACGACTCCCCTCGGCATCAACCGGTTTACATCGATCGGCGTCCCACGATGAAACCCCACATTCACACCTGCTGCAATCACACCTACGTACCTACGTTGTCAACTCCCGAGTCCTGTGAGCAACACCAGCCCATTCCATCCCAAAAGTGGGCCCTTCTTCAGTCCCTAGCCAGAAGGAGTCCAGAGAAAAGGTGGACAACTCTAGGAGAGAGACAAACCAAGTCGACCATCTGCTCTCGGTCAGAGGACAGTTGCATCTCTCAAGGATGGACCGGCCAACCGGAGCACAAATACTATAATACGGTGGGACGGGAAATGGGCAGGCATCATAGTGACGAATTTTATCCATCTAATCAGCGGCTCTGGTGCTCCTCGGCAGATCTCAGTCAAGAAGAGGATGAGGGGATATTCAGAGAAGACGTGCACAAATTCAGCCTAAGTCAGTTACCTGGCAAGTGCACCAGTGTTCAGTTCATGGAGCAGGACCTGAGGGTGCAAGAGGCCGCTACTGCACCGACCGATGGGTCCGACTCCAGTCTGAGCGAGACTTTCTCTCCAGGAACCAGTTCATTGTCCAGTGACTCAGATGAGAGCGGAGGGCTGGTCTGGCCTCAGCAATTGCCCCCTCACTTGCCCCCGTCCCCCTCTTCTTCACAGAATCCCTCCAATGCTGTGGTCAAGATTAAAGCCTCACATGCGCTCAAAAAGAAGATCATGCGATTTCGTTCAGGCTCTCTCAAACTCATGACCACTGTCTGAGTCTGGCCATGAACATACCTGCCTATTTATATTTTAAAATTCATTTGAGAGCTTTACGTAAAACGCTTCTTAAGCTGTGACGTACTGAATAGGACTGGGATAATAAATCGATGCATCGTGATTCGTGGATCGATTCTGAAATTTTCGGAATTCTCTCTCGAATCGATTCTGAGCTTAGTTTTTAAAAGCAGATGGCGCTCTAGGCTAGTTTTTAACCGCACACTCAAATGCTCATGAAGAAGAGCGCTTGTGCATTTGGCTGAGTAATGTAAGTGGTTAAATGTACTTGCACATCAGCTTTTATGCTTTTATGATGCGAGATTAATGTAAACACAGCCCACTGTGAACACCCTTGTAATTCGCTTCAAGCTTTTCGAACTGTATGAATGATTATTTTAGGTTCAAATGGTGCATGTGTAAGGAACTGGAAGCAAGCAGAATACGGCTATTTCTAAAGCATCCAATAACGCCATCTGCTGTTAAAAACTAAGCTCAGAATCGATTCAAGAGAGAATCGCGATGCCTTCGGAAAATCGCAGAATCGATGCAGAATCATTTCTCGATTCGCGATGCATCGATTTATTGTCCCAGCCCTAGTACTGAATACTATTTCCAGGTCCAAGCCTCTACTCAAGTAAGAATACTATCCCAACAGCTATTTATAAGCACTCATTTATGGCACACCTTTAAGCTAAGCTTTTAAAAACTCACGGTGTATGATCTGCAGCCTCACAAAGTTATGGATACCAATATTTTAACGATTTAGAAAAAATGTTTTCAGTATCGAGATTAGGTTAGGATCATGGTTTTTCGGTAGTACTACAGCACACAGTGAGTGTATAGTAGCACCGAATGTCATTTGCTTTTGGGATCTGATAGAGAGTTTGGACTTGGAAACTGTAACATGATGTCAAACTTAACCAGATTTACACTTGTTTATAAGTCCATCCTCCAGTAGCATCTTGCTTTCCTGATTTTCACCTTTAGGATTATTGTATCTTTCTTCTTGTTAATAAAAGATTTGATGAGATGCAACCACAAGATACAAAGCAAACCCACTAAGCACACCAAACCCATTACAAGAACATACTATTTTGGATTTAATTGGACTACTGTATGTTCATTGATTAATTCACCCAAAAATGAAGATTCTGTCATCAGTTACTCACCCTCATATCGTTCCAAACCTGTATGACTTTGTTTCTTGTGTGGAACACATTTTGTCCATACAATGGAAGTCAATGGTCACCAAAACTGTTTGTTCACCAACATTCTTCAAAATATTTGTTTTGCATTAATCATAATTAAAGTCATGCAGGTTTGAAATGACATGAGGGTGAGTAAATAACAGAATTTAGTTTTTTTTTGGGGGGGGGGGGTGAACTATAAGGACTGTGTCTGTAATGTGTCTGTAATGTTTATAAATCACTTTCTTCAGCTTCAAGTTCTCAGGCATGCCCATATATCTCTTTCTTTTCAATACTATAGCTATATATTTTAGCTTTCCCCTACTGAATAAAGCCATTTTAAGATCTTTTTTTGTTTTCTTGATTATTGACAAGACTGCTTATAATGATGTCACATTGTCCATTGTGTAAGAATGGGAATTTTTTTTTGCCTGGGAATATTTGATCTCTTAACAAGCATACAGGAATTACTAGGTACTCACAAGAGAAATCTGCAGCATGAAGAGAGATATGTGTTCACCTGGAATTGATTCTCATTAGCTTAGCATTTTAAAGGGGGCAATTTCCCAATGTCCCATGTCCATTCATTAGAATGAAGTCAGCTTGATGAATATTTTGTAGCATGTTTGTTAAAACACATTTGTAGTGTACGGGAAAAATTTTCAACATTTCTAGTAATTTATTAGTATTTATACTTTATGAACTTTGATATAACGTAGCTTCTTTATTGGTGCCACCTAGTGCATTGGAGGACTGGAATATTTCATTTTCTTGCTGCTACACAGTCAAACCTTACCTGTGCTGTGCAGTGGAAATACATTCCAGTGTGGAGTGTACTAAAATATGCCTTGCCTGAACGTAATTTTTCACTACATTTGATTTTATGCTCATGGTGTATTTTAAAGATTTTCACGTAGTCTTTGAAAATTGCTGCCTGCTTATTGCATGATGTTAATAAACTCTTATTCGTGAGCCTTCTTTTCAAACTCGTCCATGTGTGTGATTTGAAATAATGTTGTTTTTTACATCTACTATATATATAGGACTTGACAGAAATTATGTAGTCAAAAGATTACATAGTTGTTCCCCTTTGAGTGGAAAATGCAATTATCCTAGACAGGGCCATATAGCAGAAAATAAAGTTCATCTCCAGATGAGTGTTTAAACCTTTATATCTTTATTTTATATTTTCAGTATGTATACAGAATTATATGAGTTATACAGAAATGGTCAAGAAAAGGGTCAAATAAGCACTGAGATACAAATGCTACAGTAACACAAACTTATGATAGTTATAATACACACTGAATAAGCAGGAGAGGATATAAGGCATATGAATTATGTTCATTACTCAACTTTATGCAGGATATTATTCTCAGAGTGCTTATTAGCTGCCTTGTTGCGCAGATAGAAAGGTTGCTAACCCATATCCAGACAAAATTTAGGCTTTGAAATAAAATAAAAACAAAGGCTTTCAGAATCACTCTTCTTCTTTTTTTTGCACCGTAAGTACCCCACTTTTTGTCACTAAATTTAACAAATTATGCAGTTTTAACTTAATATACAATATAATAATATCCAGTATAATGCGGTATTTATTATGAGTGTCCATAATAACGATTTACTTCGTATATGAATTTGCCTTTTTGTTCTGTGTTGATTTATGTCTTATTGAAACAGGAAGTTTGGGTGGAAACTTTTTTAAGCAGCTGCAGGTGGATATACATGTATGGCCTCGAAACTCACACACATGATACACCAAAAGCCACAAAACTCTAATGTTTGTGATGTGATGGTTGGAAATCTCAGCACTAGCCTGCCAACTTTAGTTTTAACACTCACTCTTTACTGACCTACTGGTTAGTCAAGCTCATGAGCAGCAGGCGTTTCACAACCGCGAGGGACAAACACGCCTGGCAAGTTCAGCTTCTCATGCTATATATATAAGACACATCGAAAGATTTGCCTAATTGTTATGTGTGCACCATTATGCTGTTAACCTTTATTTCGCTGTGGTACATTCACCCTATGGCTTCCATAGTACGAGAATAACTGCTGTGATTTTCTGGCTTCTGTGGTAATCAATAGTTGCATTTGTATCTATGTTGTATTTAATCCAAAACATTCTTTTAACAATGAAGCAAATCTGACTTAAAAAAAAAAATTACAACATTTTAGTTGTGTCCAGTGATGAAAAAGTCTATTCATATGCTATGTGCCGTATATCTCATAATATAGTTTTGAATACTTCTGAATGCAAGGATTTAAAATGATTTTTAATTTGGCTGTAAATGGTTATTAATATTTTAATACATTAAAATACATGATTACTAACTATTAGGAATCAAAACTGTCACGGATGCGTCAATAAACTCATGCACACAAATAACCTGTTTATAATGAGATTGATGGCTTAATCGGTCTGAAAGGCCTTCATGAACTATTGTAATGCACTTCTAGGTGGTTGTCCTGCATCTTCAATAAACAAGCTACAGGTAGTCCAAAATGCAGCGGCTAGAGTCCTTACCAGGTCAAGAAAATATGATCATATTACCCCAATTTTACAGTCTCTGCACTGGCTACCTGTTAAGTTCTGTATCAGTTACAAAATATTATTACTTGCCTATAAGGCCCTTAATGGGTTAGCTCCTGCGTACCTAACTAGTCTTCTACCACGCTACAATCCATCACGCTCCCTAAGGTCGCAAAATTCTGGACTTTTGGTAGTACCTAGGATATCAAAGTCCACTAAAGGAGGTAGAGCTTTTTCGCATTTGGCTCCCAAACTCTGGAATAGCCTTCCTGATACCGTTCGGGGTTCAGACACACTCTCTCTGTTTAAATCTAGATTAAAGACACATCTCTTTGGCCAAGCATTCAAATAATGCATCTCATAATCTTTTACTGCAGTCATAATCTTTTACTGCAGTTATATCTAATCAAATGCACATTATTATTCGTTAGTTTGGGTTAAACAAATCATTTTTGCTTGGTTGGAACAGCAGCTACGCTAATTATGTTTGTATTTGTTTCTCTGTTTTTTGCCACGGGATTAACATCCCGTGGTAACTAGGATTTACACAAGCTTCAGTCTGGATCCAGAACACCTGAGAAGAGATGATGCAACCCCTCAGAGGACCTCAGATGATGCCAACCCTGAAACAACATACAGAACTACCACATTTTGCTATAAGTTTGATTGCATCATATAATAATTGCTGTTAATATTGTTCATCGTCTGTTTTATTACGTCTTATATTGATTTTTCCGTTCTGCTGGTTCGTCTGGTCAGAGGAGAACTGGCCCCCCGACTGAGCCTGGTTTCTCCTAAGGTTTTTTCTCCATTCTGTCACTGATGGAGTTTTGGTTCCTTGCCGCTGTCGCCTCTGGCTTGCTTAGTTGGGGACACTTCATTTCCAGCGTTATCGTTGACATGATTGCAAAGATATTATTTAAACTGAACTAAGCTGGATGTTGACATCACTGAATTCAATGATGAACTGTCTTTAACTGAAAAATGAGTGTTTACTATTGTCATTTTGCATTATTGACACTATTTTCCTAATTAATACTGTTCAGTTGCTTTGTCACAATCTGTATTGTTAAAAGCGCTATATAAATAAAGTTGACTTGACATGATAACATCTCAGTCGATCCAATTGAGCTCGATCTGACTGAAATTTTGATTGAAATCGGTTTTGTAGACCTGAAATAATCGATCAACCAGAATGTAAACATTTGAATATGACTATGTTTTGCTAGTGGTCATGTTTAGCTACTGTGACTGACATTTTGTGTGCGAAATCCAGTCATTCCAGAATGAATCCGCGAGATTGGGAGTTTCGTGTGAGGGTGAAAAACGTATGCCGAGTTCACACTGCACGGTTTTCAAAGTCGTCGGATCACTGTTGTTTCAAGGAATTTTGTTTGTAAAATTGTG